GCAAGCCGCAAGGGCCTACGACAGAGCTGCCATTGAGTTCCGCGGAGATAAGGCAAAGCTCAACTTTCCAGCTTCTGACTACGAACACGACCACCACAAATGACGCCCTATTACTATCAATAAGCAACAATGGAAGATGCTTCTACAAGAATTGGATTGGAAGCTTCTTAAGTTAATTTACTACTATTTCATTTTAGGATCAGAATGGAGTTGGAAGAGAATCAATTAGAGGTCGATGATGCTATGAAACCTCGTTCCGCGTTTTATCAATGGTACAAGGGATCTTTAGCAAAATTCTGTTACGTTCTTCCTTTACTACAAACACACAATCAAATTAATATATGTTTCTCTTTCTAAAAGAGTCAACCAACTGCACAGGCACTTTTGCAGTTGACTTCAAGTCCAAAAGTCACACGTGCCCTTTCTCACTGTACACAAATATATAAATAGTCCACGCCGAATTTTGTAGACAGCACAGCAGTAAAAAGCATCCATTCTGTGGGGTAAACACAGACAGTTATGACTTATCACTCACTTCTTCCGAATATTCTTCTTTGTTGACTTTAGATGTAAGCCCAAAGTCCAAGTGGCCACGACCTTTCTATTACAAACTGAATTCATGGGGCACAGATTTTCATACAAACCAATACCATGGACAGGAAAATACCTTCCGTCCTGGCCTATGAGATCAGCTACAATCTGGGCTTCTAATCTTTTAAAGTTTAAACTCGAAAAAAAAAAACAACTTCATTGCTAAATAGGAGCCGTATGCTTCTATCAAAGAGAGGTGAAAACTATCAGTCTGTTGTTCATAGTTTTAGAGGTGGTTTCATCTTTTTCTTGTAGAAAGGACGATTTGGTCGTCCATCCTTCAGTGTATAGAATTCAATGCACAGAACATATAATAGAAAAACTTAGAACTAAAAAATAATTAGGAGACAAACCCTTCAATTGGATCATTGATAGCATTGCAAATATTGCCTTCAAAATCAGGAATATCAATACTTCAGTCCCAATAAATAATACTAATTTTTGAAGCCAACTAAAATAATAACATGAGGGATCGTGCCCTGTCCTGGCACGTCACATCACTAGGAAGAATGAAAAACAAATTATCCCTTTTAGAGTCTGGAGAATGGCATTCCATGCAGTCACCACCAACGTTCATTGGCCATTCATCTAGAGTGGATGGGTCTCTACAGATGTGACTAATTCCAACACACTTTACTAATGCAACAGAAACACCAAAAAATAAAAACCAACCAAAACTTTGATTTCTGGACCGAAAACAATCCGTTCGATGCAAATCCGAAATCTAGGTAGCTCCCCCTTCTATACTCTGAGATTTCCACTCGATGTTTGCTTGGCCACATAAATTTGCTTCATCTTTGCAGAGGAAAAGTTCTTTTCAGCTCCAGACTGGTTTCTTCCCATGAACCCTGTTCTACGGTGGGACCATTCGCCGCCACCTGAACTATGCTTTTGAGAAGCACCACCTCTCTGAAAATTGTAACCCGAAGAATGACTGTATTGCTGGGTAGAAACACCCTTATGCTGAGGCGACTGAGATTTTAAATTGGTGCCTGAATTCTGGCCACTGTTGTTGCTACTGCAATTTTGAACACCAGTCTTGCCAGCATCAGTAACCGAGCTCACTGATAGGCTGTTAATGTCAACATTTGGCACTGAAGCCCCAGAACTGACACAACTTGAAGCATCAACTATTCCAAGTTCATCCGGAAGTTGGGTGACAGTTGCATCGGTTGCCACAGAAAAATTACGCTTGTGGTCAGAGGCTACAGAGGGTTGCGATCCAGGAAACCTGTTAACTGTAAATGACGGGTCAGCAGATGATGAATGACTAAAATGAGAAGGAAGTACGCCCTCCGCCTGCTGCTGCTGCAAAGGCATGGACAGAGGAACAGGCTGAACAGAGGATGCCGAAGAAGGCCAACGAGCTTGGACTGACATTTCAGGGGAGGCCTGCAAATATTTAACAGCAATCCATCAAAACTTTATGCAGCAAAAACAGAATCTTAATTGATTAGCAGCAACTGCCGATCTATGCATGCTACATTGTGTAGGACCAGAGATGCAGTTTATGGAACTAAATATAATATCTAACCAACGTGTTGTACATTTCTTCTGAATACTATGTCTGAAGTCCATAACACAAAAAATGTTCTCCCTCATGACACAACCACAAGGCCATGAAAGGAGAATAAAATAACCTAAATTTACCTGGAATGGAGAAACATCAAACATAGCCAAGGGAGAAGCCATAGGCAGCAGGGGTGAACCAGGGGCAAGATGTTGGATAGGAGGTAAGTTGGTGGGCATACGTTGAGCAGAAACCATATTTAAAGTTTTCTGATCTCCTTCAACGCCCAAAGAAGAAGGTCCAGGGCTGTGCTTCCAGTCATGCTGTTTTCCAGATGGAATATACGTAGCACCCATGAAACTCAAGCCAACTTGCCCAAACTGTCCAACAGGTGCAAAGTGATTGTATACAACCATGTGTGGAGGACCTTGAACCCCTGGGATGCCTCCCGGACTTATGAATGGGCCAGAAAAACCAGGAGGCCCATAGAATGAATCGACACCAGAATGGCACTGTTTCCAGGATCCAAGAGGCCCAGGTGCTGGTGCACTGCTTTTTTGGGTTTGAGATTGGGTGGTGGATACCGACTCATCATGGGGTCCAAAAGTAAAGACCGGACCCCCCAACATAGGATTTATCTCATAAAAAGGAAACTGGGAAGGTGAACCTCCGGGGAAATGTGAAAGCATCTGGCTTGAAGAATTCTGTGGACTAGGCAAAGTTGGCCACAGTGAAATTGGGGGGGTTTCAACAGACAAATCAGCAGGCAGAGCTACAGTAAGAGAGTCATCCGCCCTTGTTTTGCTAGCTAATTGCTGATCACCAGCTGAACCTGTAATACAGAAGTAAGCATCAAACTCGTATAACCAAAAATACAAACAAAATATGAGGTCAGCCTAATCATCGCAATTGCATCACAGCTTCCACTACCTGCTGTTATAACGTTAATATCTCCACTACCAAAATTGTTTGTATCAGTAACAGAAACAGAGCAAGTGCCAAGCCCATTAGTGACTATCTCGTCACTACTGATAGCTGCAACAGCAACAGCAGAAGCAGCTGCCTCCGCTTCAGCTTCACTATCTTCTATATGAGTACAGGATTCAGAGTGATGTTTCTCTTTCTCGAAGAAAATATGACAATCATTCTCAGCACCAGAAAGTTTGTGAGGAATTTGGATGTCTGAGTGACAAAGACCTGTGGGACCAATCCCGAGCAAAGTGGCACAGCTACCAGGAGGAAGAACTGTCGGAGATGTGACTGCACCTACATACCGAATTGAAAAGATAAAATTATAATTAATAACATTGAACTCCTGAAATCAGGTTTTCATGCATGAAATTCCCTTCATACTCACCAAATTGAATTTTCTCCCCAGCAAGCAAAGAACTGATTGGATTAGCAGCAGAAGAAAATGACCTATCCCTTGCCAAGATAGATGGTGATGGCACATTAGGATCACCAGCTAGGCTGGAATGATCTCCAACCGGAGGATGTAAATCAAACTGAGCAGGCTTCATAGCCTCATCAAGTTGGGTTTGTGTTAGGGCCATAACCTGCCAATGAATCTAATCAGTTCAAAATTCTATCGGAGATTATAACATATAAACCGAGTCAAATCACATTAGGAATAGGAACCTAAAGTACAATCAGCTAGAACTTAGATGAAGGTTCAACCCTTCTTGCACTCAAGTTGAAACAAACATAGTACATCAATAAGTTTTAAGGTCTTCTCCCAAAGTAACACAACATTAAATCACCTATTGAGATCCAGGAGTCCAAGAATGAAGAAATGAAGAAATAAATGTTAACAAGTCAATATCAAAATCCCAAATAAACATCCAGAAATAGATACAATTAACAAAATAAAACTCAATAAGGTCACCATTTCCACCTCTCTACCTGTTGATTAATACGTGAACCACCCCAGGAAGCAAAAGATGTTTGAACATTATCCAAAATATCATTCTTTTTATCGAACATTGAGCTTGACTCGAGATTTCTTCCATCACCAGTAGCCAAAGCAGGGGCACTTGACTGGATAGACCTACAACATAATATAAAATATTGGCCCAGATCTCATATATGATGCCTGTTAAAGTTTCTTCAAAATGAATACCAACCTGGCAGTATGTGATCTTTCAGTCTGGGAATCAGATTTCAAAGCAGGAGTTCCAATTGGGGCCAATGGTTGAGAGACTATTGGAGAACTAAATGCACTTGACACTACAATATTTCCTGATCCACGTCCATCAGTGGCAACAAAATCGGATCGAGTTCTCTTCACTGTTTCTGCTTCCTTAGCTGCATAAACTTTACTTGAGTTGACCGAGGATGATGCAATCTTTGAATTAGATCGACTTCTCCGTGGGATCTAAAAAAGTACTCATCAAATTTATTAAGCTTTAAACTTGCAGTAACAAAAAAATTAAATAAAAAATTAAAGAAAGGAAAACGTATAAACCTTAGAATTGTGAGACTTTGCCTTGATCTCTTTCTCTCTTTGTTCACGCCTATCATTTAGCATCTGCCTTTTAGATCGTACCTCAATGAAATCATCCTCGTCACTAGGAGCCTCTATGCCAGGTTGCTCAAATACGCGAATGATGCCACTCTGCAAAGGAGCATCAACATCCTCCCCAGAACAAATATTCTTTCTGAAGTTACCTTCACCAGAATACTGGCTGCCCTGGCTCTTCCCCAAATATTCTTTTTTCACTCCCTTTTCTGTTCTATTACCAGCATCGAGCTCTAGAGAAGAACTCACCCCTGAGCTTAATCCTTCTGATTCTAATGCTCTTTTTGATGGTTTAGTAGATATGACAACCTTCCTAGTTCCATTTCTTGCAGAACTGGCCGCACTTCTTCCACTAACAGTTGGCTTATCATCTACCTCCACATTGCTTGAAGAAACTTGACTGTTAGATGACTTTTTATCCACAGTTTCCCGAACACGAAACTCAGTTCGTGGCGCATTGCGCCTAGGCCGCCTCTGAAATCCACTAGAATCTAAACGAGTAGATTCAGAAGCCGGAAACGACAACCTAGATCCAGAATTTTTTACTGTAAATATATACTTCTTGCCTCTTCCACCATGAAATTGGCCACGAGCTTTTGACCCACCCAATCCCTTATCTCTTGAAACAGAATCAAATGGCCCCATCCCATCCTGAGCTCGACCTTCAGATTCTTTCCCCCTTGTTACCACGTAATGATCATCTGAAGTTGAAACATTGTGGTGGTGCCTCTGATGTTCTGCTTGAAAACCTGATTCAGATCTGGAATTGCTCTCATCAATGCAAGAACCTGCAGTTTGATCCTGCTGAGTTATAACTTCACTTTCTTTGTTATCTGTTAATGGTAATGACTTTGACTCCCCTGATGAATTCAGAGATCTTGACGCAAGGCCTTGTTGATTATCCATCAAAAACGGCAACACATCATTTTTCCTAGAATTATGAGCACAGGTTTCCTGAGAAGTTTGAATGGATGGAGCATCTCCTGGGTTTTTATTTAAAGGAAAACCAGTTTGAACAGTGGGTGGAACAAATGTCAGCGGTTGAGGAGCCAGAGGCAATACTCCTTGGGAGACAGAAGATGTATACCTAAGCTGCCCAAACTGGAAAAGAGGAGGCTGTGATGAATGCATGTGAGTCATTGATGGGGTGATCTGAGCATGCAAATGAAGAGGCATCTGTATAGAACCTATCTGTATGGCTGGTACTGGAGATGGTATAAGAGATGGACCTGAGAACAACCCAAACTGAAGCTTAACAGGAGGCTCGGCTTGGCCTGAAATGGCAGCATTCGGCACAATAACTTGGCCAGGTGGAGATTGAGAGGCCATTGAAACTGAAGATGAGATTGGCAGTTGAACAGACACACCAGATCTGCAAGAAAATTTTCCTTGCTCAGTAAGCTCGGATCCTGGCAATGCTTGAGCAGGTTTAGATAGTATAACCAGGTCCTTCATCTCCTCAGTGTCAGGAATCCTTACTTGAGAAGAAGCATCCGGGTATTGACAGATATTACTGTCAACTTGCAATACTTCAGAAGACCCCTGCTCTTCCCTGATGCAACTTGAAATTTCTGGTGTGACAAACATATTTTCCTCATTTCCTGAAATTCTTTCAAACTCATCATTTGGCATCCCCACTTCAACGCCTTCATTAAAACCTAATACCAAGTTATCTAACATGTGGGGTGACCCCTTATCATCTAAATGCAAATCATCAAAATCTTGTGCAAGGTCAATGTTCTCATCTTCTACTTCATGGACTTCATCTTCTTCATCATATCCATCGTCATCTTCATCATATTCTTCCTGTTCCTGCACATGCTCATTTCCAACAGCCCATTCATCTTCATCACCCGTAGATACCCTAGTTGAGGATATCATGATCTCTTTCCCACACTTGGTTGGTACAGCAGATTCAGTATCCTCTATCGACAAAGTGCCTTCTCTGCTAGCTGATAAAACAGGAGAATCTCCAGAATCATCCAAGTCCTCATGAGATAGATGAGTTGGAGAGGTTGGGGGGCTAAATACAGAAAGGGTTGACTGTGAGTCGCACCGCAGTGTTGTGTCGCAATCTGGTTTCTGCTCCTCATTCTCAGCATTGTCTAAATTAACATCGATTATCTCAGGAAATGAACGATTCTCATGATGAATATACCCTGTCTGAGCAGTAGAAACATTTCTTGCCGGATGGTCATATTGTATCTCACTTTCTACAATATCCCGGGGAACAGATTCATATTCACCCCTCACAGAAGATTTCTGTATGGAAGCTACAGATGGAGGAGGAAGAACCCGAGGTTGCCTCTGGGAATAGCGTGACCTTCCAACTGAATATGACCCGTCAGTCTCAGAAATTGGATTTACTCGTTCGGGGTAAGGAAAATAGAAGTTGTTGCGACCAGTCTCCTGCCTCCATCCATGATCACCAAAATTCTCGACATTATCCTGAAATTCTGAGTCAAAGTCGGGGCTTTGGCTATAATGATCACCACCCCCAGAAAGGTTAGGTCTATGCCCTCTTAGCTGAGAATAATCATCAGATTGTGGTTCTGTAATACCCCTTCTATGAGATATCCTAGAAGTAGTAAATCCAGCTCCCCCATAAAACTCTTTCCTGGAAGTTGCCCGCCCACCAATTGGTGCCTCTCGCCTGGGACCATTGTAGCCAGTACTCTGGTCCTGGACAACAAATTGAGAGCCACTTCCTCTCTCATAAAAATCTCTTCTCCATGAATTAACAGACTTTCCTCTGTCCACGAAGGCAGGAGAAGCATCTCTAGAAAATTGAGATCTAAGACCTACCTCAGAGGACCTATTTATACTAGATGACTCAGAAGAAGCAGATGTAGTGATTCGCTCCACCATCTTTTCACCATCTTCCCAATCAACAGCGTCTGCCAACCTAGAAACATCTTTTACAACACCAGGAATCTTCTTTTCAGGAATATCTGAAGTCGAAGTGCTTGATTTCACAGTTTCAGCCTGCCTCTTGGCCATCCTTTCCTCTAATTCTAAAAGCATTAGCTTAGCAGCCTGTTTTCTTCTCTCTTCCTCCAGAATAATCCTCTGTTTTTCCTCCTCTCTAGCTATCCGAAGTTCTTCAGCTTTTTGTATAGCCTCCAGTCGTTCTTGTTCAGCTCTCCATGCTGCTTCTCTGGCTTCCTCTTCAGCTCTTCTCTGCCTTTCTTCATGTTCCCTTGCAAGCGTCTTTCTCTCCTCCTCTTCTCTCCTAGCTAGTTCCAAGGCTCTTTCTTGCTCCTCAATAATTCGCTGCCGTTCCTGTTCCTGAATCTGTTGAACTCTCTCAAGCTCTGCCTCAAAAGATTCCCTAACAGGGTCATGAAAATCAGTCTGCTTAATCACATCCTTCTTCCTTTTGACCACCCCAACAATACCAGTAGCAAAAGGATCACGTCCATCAAAACCAGAGGCTCCAAAATCTTTCATAAAAGGATCTTCCATATAAGGTTTCTCAATCTTTGCAAAAGAACGTCTCTCCCTGCCAAAATTCAGCAACGGCTCATCAGCAGGAATTCTTTTTAAACCTGAAGAGTATGACGAGTTTGCAACTGAAGTATTGTGTGTTTCACCCCTATACCTGTTGTGTTGCTCACTACCATACTTGTCTCTAATAACCCGATCTGGTTCCTGGGAGCTGTAAGATTCTGCTGCACTATTCCAGGTTTGTCGCCCCATCTGTCCATATCCAGTGTCTCTCCTCCCAGGATCTTTATGAGCATGTTCTCGAAAATGGGAAACATGCATGCTATTGGCATTTGTTTCTCGATCAATGTTAGTAGGCCTTGCTGCAATATCATTTCTATCATTTCGACTGTCTGAACCAAATCCATCTTTTGGAATAGGAGTGTTTCTACGGAAGTTTCCTTCCCAGCCTTCTCTACTAGGTGTTCTTGCATCCCGACCATAAGGATCCACTTTATGGATGTCATTGGAATGAAACTTCCCAGATTCATCATCCCGCAGATTCCATCTCTGAGAAAAATTAGGAATGGGCTTGTGGGGAAGTGCACTAACCCGAGGCATATCAAAGTCTCTCTCCCAATAAGCCTCACTCTTTGGGTGGCCTCGATCCCTTCCCCTGTCGATCAAACCATGGCTTGTATCACGTTCGTCATCAGCCCAGTCTGATCTTGGATTCATTGAGACAAGTGGTAAAGGACCTGGGAAAAGATCTTCCTGCTTCCGAGACGACTCGGATGATTGAAAACTCCCCAAACTGAAAGTGTCGCCCTTTTTGGCATTTTCACTGGGAAGACCTTTTTGTGCTGACTGAAATTTGGGGCGAGCATCTATGCTTGAACTCAAATGAGAAGTATCTCTCTGTTCTTCATATGACCCTTCAGCCGCACGCTTCAATTTAGAACTCGGACCATCTTTCAATTTCTGGGAAGGCCCAGCTGCAGATGGTAACGTTGCTTGCAAAGAAGGGAAATCCTCACCTCTCAAAACTGGGGCTTTTTCAACTGCAGCATACACCTGAGAGGAAGCAGAAGTAGTCACAACTGGTCCTGTCATTCCAGCACGAGCAGAAGGAGGCATGTACACACTGCTCCCACCGCTCGCCCCATCAACAGTACGCAAAGATGGATCAATTCTATCAGCCATATTACTGCTAAGCCCTTCTTTCTCTGGCAAATCGTTTGTGCGTGGCTTCGTCCAACCCATACCAGCTGAAGTTGGCCTCTGCCCATTTCCCAAAACCCCTCCACCAGCTGGGCCAGCACCTGAACCCAAAGAATCAAGTCTCTCATGCTCCTTTCGCAGTGAAGGTAGATTCAAGGGGGGTGGAACAGAAAGCTTCGGCCCAGGTTTCTGGGAACTGCGGGGCCTCGAGAGGACCACCATTCCTCCTCCGGCGCCATGACTACCAGGTCGCGTTCGATTTGATCCATAAGAGTTGGGATGAGATGAATGATGATGGTGAGGCTGTCCATATGATTTATTCAGATTCACGGACACAAACTTGGTCCCGACGCCAGGATTAGCCATCGCAGGGTGCACCCCAAAACTCTAATCCGCTTGGCGGATCCCGATTCCCGCCAAAGCATCAAAAATCCTAACTTACCGTTCTAAACCGGCTGAAGCAACTCAAAGATTCTCCCTTTCGCAGATCTTAAAGCAGATAATCGATCGCAAATTAAAAAAGACTAATAATAAAAAAAGAAAGCAATGACAACGATACGGCCGACGGACTCTCTGTATCCCTGATGAATAAAATTAAAACAAGAATTAGTAGGAATTACAGATTCAGAAAGCTCAGGAGGACCGATCTAATAAACCAATCAAATGAATAGGAGCGGCAGAGTTGCGGCCCCTGGTATTAGGGTTTCAGAGCAATGCTGTGATAACATATGAAACAGAAAGAGGAGAAGGAGGAGCTTACCTCCAGCAGTATGTATGTAAGTCGAGAGATGAACCTGCGCCGCGGGAAACGTCTACAGTACGTCAGATGAAAGAAACCTACACTAACCAGGAGGGAAGGGAGATGGGGTGGACACCGAAACAATCAAGCACGGACACACCAGGGAATACCCAAACCCACCACGCCAAAATAATCAAATACCCTCCGCCCCTCTATTTTTCTTTAATTTCAAGTTTCGCCCCTCCATTCCTATTCATTTTGTATTTTCATCCTTTAATTTTCGGACTTTTCAATTAAATCACTTAACTTGTGTGCTTTATTTATTTTTATTTTTTTTTTTAGATTACGAATGTAGTTTATGGATTACGAATGTAGCTTATGAATTTTGTGTTCAATGTCTCGCTCTAAAAACTGTTTAATAAGTTTGTGTTTAATAGGATCCTAAATTTTAATAAATTATTGAATTCTAGATTTTTTTCTAACATGTCTCCGATATATTCAAATATTTTTTTAATTGATAAATTTGTTAGACAACAAAATTAAATATTGTGTCTAATAAGATTGTAAACTTTGTGATGTGTGAATTCTAAACAATACCGAATAGGTCAAATACAAATTAAACACATCTTGAAAGTTTAGGGAATTGTTAGATACAAATGTAAAGTTTAGATTATATACAAAATTCAAAATCTAGAGAACTTTTGCATATATTTTAAAATTCAAATACCTATCGAACATAAATTTTTGAAATCTAGATTAAATTTGTAGTTTAATGTTTATTTTTCTATTTTAAAATTCTTAAATATTCATTCATTTTTTGTTTGTATTGTAATATATTAAAATTGTTTAGTAAAAAATTGAGCCAATGTTTTAAAATTAAAAATGTTTATTTTTTTCAAAGTTAGTCTGTTTAATTCGAAATTCTGAAAGAATGCAGTAACAAATTGAAAGGGTAGAGAAATAGTTGAAATAGTTTATGAAATTATTTCTTTTTTTTAGTACAACATGTTAGAAATATATGTAAATTACTGTTGAGTTATGGAATTTTGGTTATGGAATTTTTTTTCAAATAGATAGAATAATGACAATAGTAATAATATACAAGTAATTAGGTCCAATCTCATTATAAAAAAGTGTATATATATTTTTGGTATATTAACATGAACTTAGGTCGATAATTGACATATGTCTATACTAAAAAAATCATGAATTGAAATAGTTTCGATCCCACATGAATTGAAATAGCTAACTCACATATGTCTCTGACCGATCAAAGTACGGGTGAATCGAAATCTCCCACTTTGATTGTTATACTAGAAAATGATTTTTTTCCTCGTCACTTACTCCCATTCACTCTCGTTCACAAGCTGTACAAAAACGACAGAATGCTTACTTCACCACGAAGGAAATTAGGAACATACTTTTTAGTGACCGACAATGATTACTCTCCACTAATTAAACATAACGATATAAATACAATCTACGTGATTTTTACCCTTTTTTTTTTAATTCTTAGGTTTCATGTTTGTCCATTCAAAACTTCTTATATAAATTATTTATTTTTCAAATCTCAAATTCATTTTTATTTATAAACTATTTTTTATAATTCAACTTTTCGTTAGTACAACATATAGATGGAGATCGAACTCGCAACATTTTAGTTGGAGATATATGTCAATTACCGCTAACATGGTCGGCTTAAAGTATAAGCGAGTGAGGCGATTATCTAAGACCTCCCATCTTATGAAGCCACATATTTTTCATATATTAGTATATATAATATAATATTATTATCTATTTATTTACTAAATATACTTTGGAATATAAAATAATATATTTCCTATAATATTGAAAATACAAACTAATAATAAATATAATTCTCTTCAAAAAAAATCTTTAATTAAATATAAAATTCATAATGAATCCGTCATATAAATTTCTCTAGATTTAATTTTTAATTTTTGGGAAGGAAATGAGACTAAAGCCCATCAAATTAAGAAAAAATTATAAGACGAGAAAAATGACGACGGGTCATGGAGACTCCATTACATACGCAATCAATACGGAAAAAGAGACTATTAAGAGATTCTTCACAAATATGTTAAACATAAGGGAAGAAACACTGTTTGACTAGCAAGCCAATATATACAAGAATCGGCTTCACGATAAATTTGTCGGATAACTTATTCTCGAAAAAGGAGGTCCTTAGGTTTTAAAACCATAGACAAAAGTACTCTCAATTCTAATTTGATACCTTTCAAAATTTGTCACTCTTATCTTTTTCTTCATGTTTGAAATCTTTCAAACTTCATTCAAAAAAAATATGTATATATATATATACATATATATATATATATATATATATATATATTAACATCACCGTTCAATACTCTCTCAAATTTTAGATCACATATATTTTTTCTTTTATTTTTTATTTTTTTCACAATTAAAATTTTTTCAAATTCTCTCCATAAAAAAGACTACCATAATTATATCTTCGGTAGGTTATACTAATTTTAACTTAATTTTGTCAATCCAAATGGTTAGAATAGAAACCAAACTTCAAAGTTTATTATTTTAACTTTTTTCGTTCCATTTCTTTCACTTTCTTGAAAATGTATTTCATATTGCTCAATATAGAGATTTGTTTAGGTTTTCTTACATGTTTCAATATAGAACACTAATATGTCTATAGAAAAATATGAATATGGATATGAAATGCTTAAGAAAACATAAAATATAAAAACTTATTGAATCTAAAAAAAGTGCTATAAAAACAATTGAATATGAAAAAATGTTATCAATAAATTTTTTTTTAGTAGAAGTAAAAGTAATAAAAACAATAAAATAACAGAAGAAATAATAGGTATAGATAAATCAAAACATAAACAAAAATGGTAGATTATGATATTTTTGAAAATGAAGCATCTAATAAATAAAGTCCAACCGAAAAAATAGGGCTCTGTTTCAAAATTTTGCCTAAGGCCACATATCATCTCGAGACGTCCCTGACCGCTAAGCTATGCTCCTTTTGGTATTTTTCTATAATTCATTTGACAATGGTAGGGTTTTATTTTGGTGTTATTAAAAATCGTAATTTTTCATTTGCAAAAAAAATTGTAATTATTTACTCATAATTTATTATGTGGTTACTTTACAATAATATTAAAAATATTATATATATATATATATATATATATATATATATATATATATGCATGCATAGTGTTTTTTATTTTTCTTGATTAAAAAAAACAGGTTTACAACAGGTTATAAAGCTAGAGTATAATAAATAAAACAATAGGGCGACTAAACAAATAAACTTTTTTTAATTTAAATCTCAATCTAAAACATGTTAACTTACAATTTAAAGTCTTGAAATGGGAAGGTCGTGTATTTATGAGCTTCAAAATAACTTTAATTTAATTTTATTACTATGGTTAGGTGAGTACTAATTATGGATTATACGGAATGAAAAAAAAAATCTTAAAGAAAAGTTCAACAAAAAAAATGTGAGTCTTGATTGATGACAAAATAAAATCCTAAGTCTTGAACAGTGATTCGATGGATGATAAAAAGAATATAATAATTCTCAATGTTTTTAATTCCTATCTATCCCCATAATTTTTATGAATTCATACTACTTTTGTTCTTCCATTTCTTTATTGTTTCTCTAATGCATTTTTTGAATTATTTTTGTTTTATTTAATCTCTATATTTATTAAATATTCAATTCAAAATTACATTACACGGGAATTGAAGGGCTTCCATTTAAGCTCAATCTAAATTCACTATTTTAGTTCCTATATAACTAGGCAATATCTAATATAACATACACGTGTTACTTTTCCGACCTAGTTAACATAAAGTACAAATATATTGATGGATTTATGGTTTAGAAAGCTAACTTCACTGCTGTAATACCAGTTTATATAGGTGGAAGAGAACCAAAACAATGAAAAAAATGTGCACATATTAGGGGAGAGACAGATGTATCGCATTTTGTAGAGATTAGCTTGTACAACAAGAAGATATTTACAATATGAAACAGAAATGAACTACTAGTATATGTCGTATTATCAACTATCTTGAGAACATCTGAGGTGGATATAATCGATCTAATTATTCAAAGTGAGTTATGTAAGGAGAGATCTGAGATCTGCACAAAGAGAAAGAACACTCCAAACTCTTAAGTCAGCAAGGATTCGATCTAAACCCTCGATAAGAAGAATCAGATTTCGTACACTACCCCATGCCTCCATTTTGTAGATTGTTAGCAGGGTCAAATGATCATTAACCGTTTTTTATAGTAATACTTTACCTAATGAATCTAATAGTTTTGATAGGTATAATAACAGTACTATATGTAGCAATTTTAACTCTTGCTCAAAAAGATATTAAGAGAAGTTTAGCCTATTCTACAATGTCTCAATTGGGTTATGGAATCCGAAGATCATCCGCTCAGAATCGCCTTCTTTAAATAGCTGGAATGTTTATCTGAGATAGCCAATATTTAGGAAAATCAGGCTTTTAGCCAAACTTCAGTGCATAGCTTTTTTAAGACTAATCGTGGATTTACCAAACTATTTGGTATTACTCTGGTTGAGCTAAATAGGCCTGCCACTGTGTATTTCAAAAGTGATAGAAAAAGGTCACATGAGTCGATCTTTCCTTTTTCTCTACGTGGCTGGTCGTGTTTTGCCCTCCAACTACTATTAATCATGAGGGAAGATAAATAATAGAGAAAATTAAGTCATGAATAAACAAAATCATGTTTAACTTAAGCATAGCTTAACCGATTAAGTCATAAAGTAATATTTTGCAAGGTGTGATGTTCAAATTTTCACCACATAGTATCGTTGACGAACTAAGAGTAAGAAAAACACACGACAAAATCACAAGAGGGAAATAGCTATGTAACAATTATCTATTTTAATTTATTGTTAGTTTGGCACTATCTCTAACCAACCAATGGGTCATGAGTTTGAATCACCTACCTCACTTTTTTATTAAAAAAAAATCGATTTGTTTACACGTTTATTCTTGAACTTTTATAAACCATTACGAAAAATGTGATTGAGAAGGGCAATATTTTTTTTTATTACAACATATGTGGGATGGGAGGTCGAACCTTCAACTTAAAAAAAAGAAATAAGGTACCTTAACCATTGAATTATGCTATAAAAAAAAGAAATAAGGTACCTTAACCATTGAATTATGCTCATATTAGCATTAGAACGAAGAATAATATTGTGTGTTTAAAAGTGAAAAATTAAGTCTATACAACATAAGTATTGATTACCTTGTCAAAAAACATAAGTATTGATTATTTTTTGTAAACCTACTTAAAAAGAAAAATAAAAAAAGGAAGGGACAAACAAATGACTTAATGAATGTAATTAACAGGGCTAGACGAAATTGTTACAGTTTTACAATCATGTTAACATTCTGTTTGGCTTCAAACAAGGTTAAAACATATTTAAAATCATACAATTAGAAACATGAGAAATGATTTCAAAGTCTTTTTTTCTTCTTTTTTTCTTCTTTTTTAAGGAAAATGATACTTATATTCATTAAGAAGAAGTGCCACACGGCCAACATTTGACAAAGCATTTTCCTCTACAAAGCTTTGAATCCAGAGAGGAAAGTTAAGAAGCCATGAATTTGTGGTACGAAAATGCAGGACTCTTTTAGCTAACATGTCAGCAACCAGATTTTGGATGAAGTTGCACTAAAGAGCAAGCACCAAAATGAAGCGCTTGATGCTCGACATCGTGGAGCCAAATTAGTTCAACATTCATGGCCGAAGAAACACCCGCAAAGAAGAAAATGCCTCCAGAGTATTAAGGATCTCACATTGAAAAGAAAATTGACATAACAATGGTTTATAATAGATATGTGATCCCCTCTTCTAATTGCTAATTGGTTTTGAGATGAAATCTTATCAATATTGATATGGTATCAAATGGAGTGCGGTGGATAAGAGATTTGAACAAAGAGGGGTTTTGCCACCTTGATTTCTCTATTTGAATTTAATTTGCATCTTGGAAGGAATCAAAATAAAAAGTAATCCAATCACACTATAAATTCAAGGACTTAACTGTTTTAATTGATTTGGTTATGATCATTCTAAATTGACCAACAAGTGATTGCTACAAATGCTCGCGTCCACCGAAATGTTGGCAGAGGGAAGGATTCTAACCCAAATGGCGTGAGCTCTCCTACCCAGAAAGAGGGGGTGTGAAGTCTCTATATCCGAATAAAAATGATTTGAAACTAATATAATTAAATTTATATTTAGATGCTCACACTAAACAGAATAAATAATAAATTTACTAAATTTAATCTTAATATATTAATTGAAGATTACAATACAATTAAGATTAAATAAGTAGCTTACCTACGTACTTTCGTACTAAAAAATAGTTTACCTGGAAATTATGTGAAATATTACAAAACTATATTGTTTTGGTCAATCATTTTTTTAAAAGCGAAATCATCATTCGAAATAGCCACTCTCGTCTTCTTTATGCGATAACAATCAACGTATGGACACATTTTTTTTTTATAAGAACATAATTTATTTAAAATCCATTAGATTTTGAAATTACTAAAAATTATAAGTCAAGTGTGCATATCAACACCAAAACATTTCGATTCCTGTTGGCTTGTTGGGGGATTGAGCAATCCAATTTGTCCTATATGTCATGGGTTCGATTCGTTTCGGCAGAGCAGATGAAGAAAAAAAGTGTGCAATGATTCATGGTCCTGTTTCTTCGTTGGTACGACTGTGAATTTGGACAGAACGTAAAATACATCTAATTGAAGGAGGATCTTCTTCATTTCGAAATTTTGATCGAACCATGGCCGTTAACGTGCCCATTAATTTGCCCAGAACCAATCCTTCGTTCAAAAACCACGATCGCGTTAACGGTCGTGGTTCAACCAAAATTTCGAAACCCTTAAACTCTCCTTCTTTCAACGTCGAAAACCAATGATAACTCTTAACAAAAACCCACACAAATCCACGCAAGCCTAAAATTTCAACGATTTCTGCAGCAGAAAACATAAACCTTATTTTAGTAATTTATCACTTCAATATTCTATTTCAAAAAATAAATTGATTGTCAATTTTTATAATTGACATCAGTTGAACAAATTAAAAACCTTATTTATGTCATTTTCCCAAAAAAATAGCGTATGGGCAGTATAGGAAAAGTTCCGCTGCTAAAATTGCAGAAGAACACGCAGGGCGGGAGCGCTGAGCATGGCGATTGATGGAATTGAAGCTTTCTCGCCTCCCTCTCACTCATCCTTCCATTTCAGGTATTGATATTGCTGCCTCCCGCTATCTTAGTTTCACCCATACTCAAGATTGCCTCTCTGTACCGATGCCCATTCTGTCTTACTTTCTCAGTCAACCGCGCCACTTCTATGTTGCCGTTGACAGGATCCAGTTCAAGATGGTCCTCTTCTCTCAATCTATGCTCAACACACATTTTTGAGATTCCAATTGCAATTTTTGGTTACTGTTTTCATTGGGTTGAACTTTTCTGGGTAAACTTTTTCCGTTCCCCTCCCTGCGCCGTGTACTTGGCAGGAAACGTTAGTGGGCTTATTGGATGTGGCCGGTCGCCGTCCGTCCTTGCCGATGATTGTGTGCTGTAGTTCTCGCGACGAGCTCGATGCTGTCTGCTCCGCCGTCTCCAACCTCCAGTACATCTCTTTGGCCTCTTTGGTATGCTTATTTTTGCTCTCTTCTAGGTGAAATTTGTGGAATTGGTCTAGTTGGTAATCTCAAATCCTCAAGTAAGAGGCTGATGTGCATTCTTTTGTGCCACATGACGAATAATTTCATCTTAAAGCAACTAGTTACCTGAATCAATCTTCAATGTAGGAATTGTCAATATGATAAGACGCTCGGATCATAATAATTCGAACAGTATCAGTTCTGTAGGTTGCATTGTAAATCTGGGTTCTTGAGTTCTGAGGCTAAGATGCTTGATTAGAAGAGTGCTGTGAATATGATGGTAATCCCGAATATTAATAAACTTCACCAAATTCTTTTATTCAATTTTAGATGGCAATCGAAACTGAGTTATGAACTAACCAATACGGGTGCTAGTTGTGCTATTTGGATTCAACTTTAGAAGCTTTATTAGCGTTCTTTTATTTCCAGTGACGATTTTGGTTCACGTGTATGTTCTCGTCTTAATGCTCTTTTTGTCAAAAGCTGGGAGTTCATATGCCTCATGTTCCAGTAAAGTAGTAATTGAACTCCAACTGATCGGATTATCTTAACGGATCACCCTAAAGTGGCATGCAATGCAATTTACTGTTTTGAGTATCCTCCATCATACTTTTTGTGAGCACTGATATATTGTTTTGACCCTCTATTCAGTCATCTGTTGTTTCTGTTGTTTGTTCATTTACATTTACTTCATAATTATTACAGTATTAGGATCAAAGTTTTTGCGATAGTTTTTACTCTGCGCAAATTGCCCCCTTTTCATTTAATCATACAACGTGTACATTTTGTCTTTTTCCTTATTTAGTCAATATGCTACCCATGTTAGCATACATATGGGCTAGCGACCATATTGTGATTGCTCTGTGATAAGACTTACTGAGTTACTGTGTGAGTTATATTGATGCAGTGTATTTATTGCTTGTCATATTCAGTACAGTGACCTTGCAGAAGCAGACCGTACACAGATTTTAGAGACATTTCGCCAAACATCATCAAGGTGGAGCCAAAGTTTCAGTTCTCAATCAGAAGACAAATGTGAGGTTGAGAAAGATGGAGAAAAATCACACATGATTGTAGTAACAGACGCCTGCCTTCCACTTCTTGCTTCTGGGGAGTCACCTCTTTCTGCCCATGTTTTAATTAATTATGGACTACCAACCAAGAAGGTCTAGTTTTTAGACTACTGGATTATATATATAATTTTTTTTATATCCAGGAGTCGGAGTTTTGCTCTCCTGTACCCTACATCTGCCCCTGCCCCAAAAGCCCGAACCTAGGAGATGTTAAAAGTTTTATTGTATTAAGGTTTGAACCTTCAAGTCGGTTTGACCAAGAGACTCAAAGCCATGGCAAATGGGGCCGCCCCTTGGGGACTTCAGACTTCTGGATTATATTAGCCGATAACTTGTAAAAATTCGTATTTGATTATGTCAATGGGCATGACAATGATGTTCAGAAAATATAATTGTTTTCTGCTTCAATTTTGTTCCACCAAATATTACCGAACTTCTTATCCTCTTCTGTGATTGTTTGGTGGGGGATGCTTTCAATATGCAAGAGCTAGCCTTTCTTGTTTTATTTAGTTGTCAAAATTCCATAAGAAGATGTATGGACCATAAAAGCTAGTTACGATACTTAGATTAGATTTAACTATTTCTATATAAAGCGCATCTGAAATCATTTTTCAACAATTGTAGTTGTAAGTCTGAGGCTTTATACTTCAAATTGTATTAATAAATTGCATGATTGTACTAACTCTTCCTGTTGCTTGATATGGTACTGGTCTTTCTTCAACAATGTCATAGAAGAACGATACTATGTGAAGTTGTATGAAGTTTATTCACATGCAAATTTTTATACTTGTGATAGCTATCTTGTTTCTAAATTTCATGTGATTTTTGTTGCAGGAAACATACATGAGGCGCATGACTACTTGCTCAGCCTCAGGTCATTCTTCTATACTGCAAAGGATTATAATATAAGCTATGCATTTTGTCTAGGTTTCTCCATACATAAGAGTTGCTTCCTATTCTATGCATTACATACAGATGGGATCTTAATCAACATGGTTGTTGGGGGAGAAGTGGTAACTCTCAAAAGCATTGAAGAAACTAGTGGCCTTGTTATTGCTGAGATGCCCATTAATGTAAGTGTATTACTATCGCTTTGTTCTTCATATGTCTTAGATGAATAAAAATTTTGCTAAGAAAATCATTCTCAAATAATTATTCCTGAATGTTAGCTGGCCTTTTTCCTATAAAAAATGTCAAATCCTAGTGCTGCTTCTGTGTTTTCCACAACTGTTGAAGTTGGAATGATACCGTGTTGCAGATTTCTGAAATTTTGTGAGGATCTCTGCGATGGTGAACATCTGAAGACAACACAGAAGGTTTTCCTGTTGTATCATCTTTTGACCCTTAACACTTGATTAAAATGGCTGGGCCAGTGAAAAGATTGTCCTGTTAGACCGTAATGCTCTTGAATCACGGTATCTGTTTGATTTAGAAGGTGTCTACCTATACCAATTGAACATGTCAATGGTAACTTATGTTGGTTTAAGTGTATCCATCACAGAGCTTGTCAGTTTAGTTTATTGAACAAAGGCTATTTTACAGTGGGAATAGGATGCTGAGATATATAGTGCTGTAAGATTTTGGGTCACGTTTGATGCCGTTCCTGAATTTTTTTTTAGTATTTGTATGAGTAATCATGATGAAATAATTAAAGTTAACCTTGAAAGTTTTAATTCTTTCTTTGTATTTTAATTTATAGTCTAAAAGAGATGAAATTGATGGCAAGGATTTGAGATGTTTGGAGATTTTCTCCAAGATTTTGGGATCGAGCTTCATATAATGTTGATATATATATATATATATATATATATATTCTTTTTAAACAAATGTGGGGCATGAGGATTTGAACCTCGGATTTGGGAGTAGATGTTTACTGGTGAACTATGGTTATGTTACCGTGTTTGATATAGTTAATTTATGATTACTTACTAATGATAATGACTGTTGAAGCATATGGAAAATTAAAAATTTTAAAGTAAAAGATTTGTTTTTACTCGATTTGTTCTCTCCAAACATCTTTTTTATTTGTAGGATAAGAGATGATCCACTAATAAAACTATATAAAAGAGCCCAATTTTGTCCTTAGATTATGTGATGTGTCATCTGAAGACCGATTGTTACATATTGACCCGATTTCAACAGAATCCACCACATGTTGCCCCTTAATATTAATGGAAATACCCTTTAACCCATGTGATTGACAACCATATCATCTAACACCATCTTTATGCTATCATGATCTTTGAAATCTTTGCCACATGCTAAACAGGGTAATTTAATAAATAATGTCAGTAAAACAAATATTCAGATAGCCTTTCTTTAAATTGTTTTCTTTAAAAGGTACAATATTTACAAGAATTAGATTATAATTTGAAGACGAAAGCATTTTACTGTCCCTCAAGCAAACACTTAATTGTGGAAAGTCTTAATAGAAACAGTCATGATTACTATAGAAATCTGTGGACATATTAAGAAAAGGCAGAGCTTGTTACAGTAAGCTGCTGCTGTTGTTTGGTTCAAAATAAGGCAAGTAGGGCTGTAGGGGCTTGTCTGGTCTGGTTAATTTAATGTGGTTGTACTTATAAAAAAAAAAAAAAACAAAAGTCCTTCCACATGGTCCATTGGGATGGCCAGCTCATTCTCTGTTATTTCTACCTGCGAGTCAAAGATTGCTTCGAAAACCTTGTAATAACCAACGAGTATAATTAAATTCTAACCGTGTATATGTATAACTACACCAAATGATGGGTGAAAATTCGAAACCTTTATTACCTTTTTCGCTGGCAACACGAATTCCCCACCAACCCAGCTTTTTAATTTATTGAAAATATAAAAATATCTTTTTTTCTCTTTTATTATGCTTGACAAAAAATAAAGGGAAGGTTACCACCCAGCATGGATCAGGTGGGCTTGTCAGTGCTGGCACTGTTTGTTGAATATAAGCTGTCTCTTTTTGTGTCGGTCACTCTCAGCCGTGATTGTGTGTATAGTTAGTGTTGTGATTTGTGAAAGTAGCATTATGGGTTGCTTGGACACGTACAAGAACCCAGATCAGAAGGGACATTGCCCTCCCATGAGCCCAAGACTGTCCTTTTCCAACGACTTCGTCGAATCTCAATCTCAATCTCATCACAAGAAAGAAGAAAAAGCCCCAAAATTGGATCAGTTCCACTTCCCAACCCCAAATAGTACAATTTCCTCCGACTTCGAATTCTCATCATCATCAGCAGTGACGACCATGGCCGCCGCCGACGAGCTCTTCTTAAAGGGCAAATTGTTGCCCACTCTTAGAGACCAACTTCTCCTCCACGACGACGATGATGGCACAGCAGCCTCCTCATTCGGCTTACCAAAATGGAAAGCGTTTCTAAGCCTCAAGAGACCATCGGCCCAAGACGGGTGATGGGCAACGACCAATTAGCCGCCCTGAAACTGGAGGATCGGAACCACTGCATCTTTTTTGCCTTCTCTCTGTTTGGTATATTTGGTTGTTTTCCTTTTAGGAATTCCTATAATTGTCCCATTGCCTAATTTGCACTTCACACAGCAATTTTTTATTCTCCCCTTTCTTTATCTAATTTTCTTTCACTCTCGCTTTGTAGCTCCATATCCATAGTGGGTTTGTGTTTAAGTTAACCCAACTTTTATGTTTTGAAGATTTTATTGAAAGGAACCATGTTGATCTGTAGTAAGGTAAATCCATCTTCAAATATATTATGAGTGTACTTAGTTTAGCTAAATTTATAATCCGCGTACATCCACTACGTATACTCGGTGTTTTCTGTGTGTTCTACCTACTCTTGGTTCAATGGGTAGATCTTTAAGTTTTAACCAACGTTCTAATTTATTATTTATTATTTATTTTTAATGAATAAGTTGGATGGGAGTGAATATGAGTATAGTTTAGTGGTTAAGATATATCGTTCGTTGGAAGTTCAATTTCTCATATTCGCATTAGTTGTAATAAAAAAACTAGGATTGAAAATTCATGTTATTGATGTTGAAATTCAATTGGTCCACATGTCGCTTCAATAGAGCCGTCGGACAAGTCAACTTGCAGTAACAAACCTAGACTGGTGTCCTACCTAATAGATCCTCCAACGGTCAAATTAGTAAGTGAAATGGAGATGAGATCCTATCCCTTTTATAGGTGACGAAGCCGACCAGAGAGGATGCTTGGCATGGTGGGTCGGATTTACGTACGAGCTTTGGTGGGTCGTTAGGGGATATTCTCGACATATGGTATCGCTCCCTATCGCCTGCCATTTTGACTTGCTGCAGACAACAAGCAAGGCGTGTCGCACAATCATCTGCACGTCACTGGCCATTACGATGTCACTCCATTTATGCGTCACAAGTTCATAGTGGTCCCTACTGCCATGTGTTGCTCCGTGCGCTCCTCATACATGCAGCTTAATTTTCACTCCAACGCGCCAATACACTTTTTTATTCTTTTTTACCCAACGTACAAAGAAATAAAAATTTTTTATTATATTAATTTCAAATATTTTTTTTCTTTGCAAGCAAAACGAAAATTGGAATCATTTAACGTTCCAAATTATGAAGTATAAAATTACTTCTTGAACTTTCTATGTTTCACGTCATGGTATAAATTTCCTACTACCAAAAACAAGCAAATATTGTTCCACATTGATTGCTAAGTTTATTGGAACCTTTTCTCCAACCAGTTTCATACTTAAATTGAATGTGTTCACGTGATATTACTATATATTCTACCTTAACATGTACACCATGCCATAGCCAAAAATAATATTAACAAGTCTTCTATCATATTGCCGAGTAGAAAATTAAGTCAATAGTTGGATTAAATTTAAGTTTATTTTCACCTCATACAACTTTGAAACAATGGAACTTTATCTACGGATTCAACTTTCCATTTTTAATTTAACCTGCTAGTGATTTTAAACACGAGGCAACAATTTTTACAAACTGTTATGCATACTATTTTTCAACGCATTTGGATTCTTTTTAGACATACGTATGGTTGAATTAGCTCATAGTTGAAACAAAAAGAAAATAATAGCGGAATAGTCCAATCCTCCTATGGTATGTTTGAGAGTGATGATAGAACGAGTTTCTTAAAAATCAATTTAGAGTTATTTCAAAATTTTTAACAATCAATTTTCTAACTTGTCAAATATAATAAATGACAAAAATATTTTTGTCCGTGACAAAATTGCTCCATCAAACTTTAGAAAACAAAATTTACCATATTTGGAGATAATTTATTTAAGAAAAACCAAATTGAATTCTATTCAAGTAATTTGAAGGAAGAGACGAGAGCGGCGAGGAGGGAATAGTCCGGCGATAAATCGCGATAAAATGGTGAAAAACAGGGCAAGATGTCCGACAGTTGGGTGTAATATACACGTGGCATTTAATATGGCCTTCAAATGAATTCCTTTTGCAAATGCTAAGCTCAACATCGCCGCCTTTTGTGTGAGCGCAGAAGGTTTCCCACCAAGTAGCCACCTGCGACCGCGACCCTGACCCTGCGTCTTTGCAAACTCATCCTCAAATCCAATCCACAAAACTTACCGTCTTCCTCTTCCTCCTTCCTTCCCCAATGGACTCCGCCCCTTTGAACTGGGAAGCTCTCGATGCCCTAATCATCGATTTCGCCAGATCAGAGAACTTGATTGAGGATTCCTTTTCATCCTCCCCTCCTTCTTCTCCTTCTCCTTCCCCTTCTTCGCTTTCTTCCTCCTCTTACCATTCCAGGTTGATCATCCGCCACATCAGGCGCTCTTTGGAGGCCGGTCATATTGACTCTGCCATTCATCTCCTCCGTCTCCATGCACCCTTCATCCTCGACGATCATAGGCTTCTATTCCGCTTGCACAAGCAGGTCACTCTAATTATCCTCCGCCTCTTTCTGCGTAACCTTGTTTTAATTTTTTATGTTTTCGCTAATTAGGGTATATTTCCCTATTCTATCACGCTGCATCAAAGACTGGAAATTGAGAAAAATTCAATCCATTTGTTTGGTGGCTCAACATCCTAGTCAGCGAAATTTATTTCCATTTTCTGCGTTCATTATGTTCAGAAATTTATCGAGCTTTTGAGGAAAGGGACTGCAGAGGATCGTGATTTGGCCATTCAATGCCTCCGGACGGCCCTCGCTCCTTGTGCTCTTGATGCATACCCGGTAAACAGTTTACACTTATTAATGGTTTGGTTTGAATCGATGTTTCTATGGAAATGTTCTCTGCTTCTCGGATTCTTCAAAAAATTATTTTCCTTTTAAAAGAAATGAAATTTCCATTGAAACTCCAGTTGGCGTAATGATTATTCCCCAAAAAAGGGCACCATAGAACAAATCTGACAGCATTAGGTTTCCCTTCAAATTGATCATGCATAGTAATTGTTCCATTATGTCTCCAGCCCTCTGCGGAACAAACCACTGTGCTACTTAAAATCAGACACTGCAACTTTTCTTCTATGGTTTTGGCTGACTTCTCTTTGATTTATGATGAAGGAAGCATACGAGGAGTTCAAGCATGTTCTTCTTGCGTTCATTTATGACAAGGATAATCAAACATCCCCCGTGACATATGAGGTGAATAATATTCATTTCTCTCTTTTCACTTCAGTAATTATTACCTTCAGTATTTTTCGATGTTCTTTAGTGGATGTTGGCCATGCCGTTGATATGGAAACTCAATAACATATGACTGTTCTGATAATTTAGAATGTGAAGTATAGGGAATCGTCGACAATTAGAATACATGTTATATTTAGTATTTGGCTATCCAATTAGAATACATGTTCTATTTAGTATTTGGCTATCCTTATGCTTCAGACAATAGTAAGGGTAACCTTTCCTTTTTATTCAAGGACTTCCCTCTTTCCTTACTCTCTTAACTACGAAATTTTAAGAATGGAAAAAAAAAGTCTCAAACCTATGATGGTTACCTACCTTATGTTGTAGGGTCAAGCGGCTGCTCCGTGAGATTAGTCGAGGTGTGTGTAAGTTAGCTCAGACATTCACGGATATTAAAAAAGAAGAAGAAAAGATTAAGTCAGTCCACTATTTTTTGGGATTTGGACACTTTTGTGGTTCATAAGCAATCAAACTGAAGTCTAATGTTTCAAATTAATTTTATTTGTAACATTTAATTTAAAATGGGCTCCATTTAGGCACATGGCGTTCTAAGTCCAGTACATATTTCCTTTGCCAAGAAAATACGAGTTGCCTGGTTCCGACATGGGTTGTAGAATTTTCTTGCATATTGTCGAGGTGTTTGAATACAATGGCATAGGAGGTACCTAGGAAATCTAAATCTTATAAAGTGGTTTCTTAATATAACACCCATAGGGCGTATTTTTGAGTTGTTAAGTTCCTTTGTTCATTTGGCTTTTTTACATGGTAGAGACGTTATCCTTTGGAAAATAATAAAGAAATAGTTTTTTTTTTAATTTTATTTTAAAATATTGTTAATTGTTATTATTATTTTATTTATTAGAACCAGAGACAATATTTTCATTCATATTAGTAAAAAAAAAAAACAGCCTAAAGGCAGAGGGTCGAGAGAACTCTCCCCTACAAGCTATACAACTACTACTTTCCAATCTTGTAAAATCATTTGTAGACTATAATTACAAAAGACCTTCTTGTGGATTGTAGCCCACCAAGAAGCCATATGTTGAATATTCACCCAAAAAGAATCCACCGAAGTGCTTCTATCTTAAAAAATTATGCTATTTCTCTCTTTCCAAATGAGCCAGATCAAAGCTCTAGCTACACAGTGCCATAGAACAAGGCTTTCCCCTTAAGGGCACCACCACCAAAACTCTCAGAGATAAAGTCATCTATCCTCCTAGGGAGACAAAGACTAAGGTCCAAACACGAGGCTATATGAATCCATGCTTTATTAGCTACCAAGCAATGTAGAAAAAGATGTTCCACCGTTTCTGCATTCTTTTTATTTATTTTTTTTTTTTTTGGAATCCGTGTGTCCGGGCCAACTTGCGTGCACCTCGACTAATCACGGGTTAACCGCCTGACCCTACTACATTTGGTTGACAAGGTAACTCGTAGGATATTAAATCTTAGGTAGGTGGCCACCATAGTTTGAACTCATTCCCTCTGAGTCCTTTACTATTTACAAAGGCCCTCATTGACCACTTGAGCCATCCCATAATGGTTCCACCGTTTCTGCATTCTGTAAACACAGACTACAAGTTGAGGGAGAAAGATGCCATTGAGGAAGCTTTTATTGTAGTTTATCAGCTGTATTAATCCCTCTATAGAATAAGAACCACATAAACACTTTCATCTTTTTGGGAACTCGGAAGTTCCAAATCAGATTTGATGTAGAAGACTGCATCCTTGGAGAAAGGGTCGTTAACGCCAAAAAGGCAGATTTTTCCGAGAAGACT